CTGCAGTTCAGTGCATTTCACTTGAGACAGTCACACTGCATAGATGCATTGCAAACCCCTCAGCTTTAGCTGACAACTCACTTTTTTCAGATCAAAATAGGGCACCAGTGAGATTTGCTTAGATCTAGTGAGAAAGTGTTTTTATGCAGACTGGTCATAACTTGTTATATTCCGTTATGAAAAGGTAGACTGGTCTTATTTGTATTGGAAAAGTAAGACTGATAACCACTTGGCAACTGCTAGTACGTTTTGTATAGTATTTTCTTAACTCTTTACTAAACTATGTCTAAAAAGGGTAATATTTTATGTATTTGAGGTCTGAGATGTGGGAACGGTGAAGAGAGAGAGAGGGCAAACATTTTGCATGTTAGGTCTAATCAGCCAATATTGTCTTAAATAGCGTGCATAGCACTTCATCGTTTATAACATGGGGTTTTGACCAAATATTTTATTATATCTTGATTTTTGTAAAATGTTGCAGCAAGATGTTATTTAATTATTTGTGTGTGTGTGTGTGTGTGTGTGAAAAATTACAGTTTTGGAAATATAAGGTAATACAAATATAAATAATTTAAAATACCTTAAAGTAACTACAAATGAGCATGTGAAACAAATATCTTTAAAACAAATTCTATGTGGAGCATGCCCCCGGTTCTCACCATTTTTTCCCCACATACAGCATCAGTGCTGGGGGTTCAGTGCTACAATATAATAGACCCGAACAAAGCAATGGGGTTATTACTCACACTGGGGTTTTATTGTGAATCAAGAAGTGTAACTGATCAGCTGTTAGTTACACATAAGTACTGTTGCAGGTTTAATGCTTTAAACTCTATCAGTGGTATCTGACAAGTTACAAGTGAATACAATTTTGACTCATCTCTGTATTTCATAGTCTTCAATGAAAATGTGAATAAAATCAAGCAAGTTATGAAGTGTGCCTGGCAGCTGAATGACCTCAATGCTTCAGTTATTTGCTGTACTAAAGCAGTTATACATACTGCTGGAAGATGGTGCCAAATTAGTGAAATAGCTCAGATAACGAGGACTGAAATGCCTGATATCCCCTTACACAGCTGTGGGTGAAACATTCAGAAAACACATGAAAACAGTTCGATGGAAACCCAGCCACCGTTTCAAGACATTGGACATGATGTTATGATAAGATGAGACTAGTGGGACAAAATTGGAAACTGTCAGTCTATCATTCATCATCCCATCATGCTCAAATAATATATAGGATTTTACTGAATCATTTAACACAAATGCAGACATTATGCCACAGATGATAATATGGCTTTGCCTGTTGCAATAGGAAGTTCTTAATTGTTTAGCAGCGTTATTTCATTCTTTGCATGAGGTTCTCCTGTCTTGCAGATGAACCTGCGGTCTGTATTCAGCGCCGAGCAGCAGCGGATCCTGGAGCGCTATTATGAGTGCGGCATGATCAATCAGAGCAAGAGCTGCTTCCAGCTCATCCTGCAGTGTGCGCAAGAGACCAAACTCGACTTCAGCGTGGTTAGAGTAAGCCTGCTCGTTTTATTCATGTAACATTTCATTTCAGATGGTTTGAGCTGGTTATGTTGTTATTTAGCGGTCGACCGTCATCAGTGACTGATACCCATATCTAAAGGGCAGGATGATAATTAAATGAAAAATAACAGTGTAGACTAACATACTTTTATGCTAATTCAGTTGACTAAAACATGTGAAAAATGTGCATTGCAAGTGATGACTGAGTGAGTGTGGTGATTGGCCAATACAGATATTTACAAAATGACCAAACATAAAATAAAACGCAGAGAATTTGAAATCTTTATTCACTGATGCTCTGAAAATGGGTTTGAATAGAATGGCTTGCTAACTTTTTCCGTGTGTAATCCTTGCTGCCACGACAAAACCCTAAAACAACCCTAGAAATGAGCATTTTTACAGCTCAGATAATGCATTAAAGTAAGTGCTTGTGTAAAATAAGCTTTATATTTCCATTCACATCACTAAATTGTTCACTGCAAGTGTCTCAGCAGCAGCGCATTGGATTTGAGAGCTACAGCAGAGAGGGACATCTTTTAGTGAACAGTGACTTCAAAAGGTGTCTTTTAATCTGTGTTAATAGCTTAATGGTCGTCTATATACTAGCACTTTTCTAATTCTATCCTATAATGTAGATAATTTTGTGATAACGACAGGCTGGCTGTACATTCTCCTGCTTATTACATGGTGAATAATTATTGGGCACAAAGTATTGATTTGACTTTTTAGTAGCTTATTAATATTTTATTAGCTCACTTGTAACAGTTCCTAGAAAGTGGCTTTTAGTCAAGACGGACAGACAAGTTCAAACTAGAAAGACATCAGCAATGGTGCATTCACACGGGGCTTCAACGCCTTTGAATGGAGTGACATCAAGCATTGCAGAACTGGATTGTGGGTCCGTTGCGTCTCGTCACTGGCGTTGCTCGCGGCAGAAGTAGAAAACTTTTCAACTTTTCAAGCATCAAAGCAGGCATGAGCCAATCAGATGGCCTCATGCAAATATACTGACATCGATGGTGACGCCCTGTGAATGAGGTGTAAGGGATGATGTAAAGTCCTCCTGATTACTGCATGGTTAGTCAGCAGTGTTGAGGAAGTTACTTTTAAAAGAAATGCATCGCAATTACTCCCTAAAAAAGTTACTAATTACGTTACTTAGTTACTTTTTATGGAAAGTAATGTGTTACGTTACTTTTTAAATCTGAGCAGGGCTTGCTTGTTTGTTTTTAATATAAAAAGTTATTCTTTTACAAATGTAAAAGCCCTTTCACACCAAAAGTGAAATGAATACGCCTCAGGCTGAAGGAAATGTAAATTCACGTCTGTAAAATAGAGGGCGCATTGGCATGTTGATTTGAGTTTGAAATTGTTTTTAAAAAATTATTTTATAGTTTCTGCTAAGGAAAGTATAATTGATTCAATCTGTTCGTCACGCAAAGCCTGTGTTCTGATGATATGGGCTTATACTTTCATGGTTCTCTCTTCTCAAATTTTGAGTTTTTGAATTTTAGTTGTATAGAAAAAATCCTCCTTCTCTTATGAAATAGATCCAGTTCTTCAAAGCCGTCCTGATGGCAGTGTGTTTCTCTTCTTCTGTGGTTTCAGACATGGGTAGGAAACAAGCGTCGGAAGCTGGCATCCAAGGCGGATCAGAACGGAGCCGGCGCTCAAGCGCTGTCCCATCAGCATGTTTCGTGCGGATCAGCCGGGGTGCTCATCGCCGGCTCGGTGCTGTCGACTGAGATAGCGGCCATGCGGAGCATTCAGCGCGGCCCTCCGGTGACCCACCTCCTCCCTCCGCAGGCCTCGTCCTCCTCTTCCTCCTCCTCATCTTCCTCCCCGCTCAGCGACGTGATTCTGACGGGCATTTACGCCAACTGCTTCGATGCTACCGTTCACAACAGGACAGTGACGAAATCACTGCCCTCGCACGCAGAAATGGAGCCGCCCGCCGTGCAGCAGAAATCCCCCATCATCCCCGGCGGCTCCAGCGCGCTCAAGTGCAGCCAGACGCTCAAACCCTTCCCCTCCAGAGACGTCATCGCCCCCAGCTGGGCCCCGCAGAGCCGAGCCGAGCAGCATGCGTCATGGCCTCAGAAAACCGCCGCGGCGCACCGCGCTCCTGCAGGTGCCGGCGCTCAGATTAAGCATGTCTTCACTCGGGCCGGATTAGAGCGGCCTCCAGACGCGGCGAGGAAGACGAGGCCGGTCGAGGCGTCCGAGGTCTTCTCGATCGCGATGGAGACGGCCGACGCTGAGGACGAGTACTCCAGAGAAGAGGAGCTGGCCAACATGGCAGCGCAGATGCAGTGTGGGAAAGCTTCCTCTTCGTTGACTGTAAGCCCGGGGCTCAACCCCTCTAACTCTGCTCTCTTTGGAGAGAAGGGATGTCAAACCAGCAGCTCCTTACTGAGCAGAACATCGTCCCCCGGCAGCTTGCCGCTGAAACTGCTCTCGCAGACGTCTGCCACAATCCCCTGCCTCAAGGTAAGGTGTCATGGTTACAGTGATTCAGTGCGTTTACTAGGGCTGGGAAAATAAATCGATGCATCGCGAGTCGAGAAATGATTCCGCATCGATTCTGAGATTTTCCGAATGCATCGCGATTCTTTCTCGAGTCGATTCTGAGCATATTACTTACTTACATACTTTAAAATTATGAGTTTATTTCACTTTGGATGTGAAATGTGAAAACAACATTGAGATTATATGTTTTAAATATTTGTTTAATAACATATTTTACTAAGTACTATGAATGAAGGCCAGAATCACTGATATTGATGCACCTATTAAATTGATTTTTTTTTTTCAGTTTATGGGGATAAAATCAGTAATTATAGCCATTCAACAGTACAGTATAATTGAAAGCCAAATCTGTTTCACCATATATTAACAATTACAGAATATTAAAAAGTATTACAACAACTTAAAGTAAACTTAAAACAACGTTCACCTGAAACTATTGTTAAAATGTCTCTGTTAATATTTTTTGAATGAGAGCTGTCAGTTCATTTGCACTTAAAGTTCATTTTGCATATATATTTTTTTAATTTTATATAATGTTTTAACCGTAAATTAGTAATAAGTTACTAATAGTTAAAGGGATATTTCACCCAGACCTGTGTGAGTTTGTTTTTTTCTTTTGAACACAAAACAAGATTAAAAAAGCAACAAAAAAAAAAGTTTAAGTTTAAAACAATGTGGGTAACCGAACAGTTGATGTTCCTCGTTTACTTCCATAGTATTTTTTCATTACTATGGAAGTCAATGGCTGCCAACTGTTTGGTCACAAACATTATTGTGTTCAACAGAAGAAAGTTTGGACAACTTGATGATGACAGAATTTTCAACTGTATGTACTTATGTTTAGTATTTCTGAGTTTAACTCACTGTGACTTACACTACCGTTCAAAAGTTTGGGGTCGGTACATTTTTATTCTTTCTTTTTTTTATAAAGAAATTAAAACTTTTATTCAGCGAGGATGTGTTAAATTGTTAAGAAGTGATAGCAAAGATTTATATTTTGAATAAATGCTGTTCTTTTTAACTTTTTATTCATCAAAGAATCCTGAAAAAAGTATCAGTTTCCAAACAAATATTGTGCAGCACAGCTGTTGATAATTCTGATAATAAATCAGCATATTAAAATGATTTCTGAAGATCATGTGACGCTTTACACTGGAGTAATGATGATGGAAATTCAGCTGCGCATCACAGAAATACATTATATTTTAAAGGATATTAAAATAGAAACCATTATTTTATATTGTAACAATATTTTGCAAGATTACTGTTTTTTTTCTGTATTTTTGATCAAATAAATGCAGCCTTGATGAGCAGAAGACACTTCTTTAAGTGTGCAGTGTAATTACAGGGGTTATCTGTATACATGCATTTGCTGCTGCCTTTACACAGAATTCGGTATCTGCTCACCGAACTGATAATATTCCCAGAACAGACATTTGGAGTGAGTGAGGGAAAGAAACACAAGCCATCCAGCTTATAAGAAGTCTTCAATTCTGAAACTGACATTTCAAAGAAAAAAACCTTTCATAGAGTTGCTTTAAAACATGAGGTCTCAGTGTTTTATGAGAGTAGCGATCACCTTTTGTCTGTACTTAATCACTGAGATGAGCACATTACTGACAGAATCAAAAACAGGCTGTGTCTTAATCTCTGAACAGGCTTTCCTTTGTGTTTCTTTAGGTAACGAGTGACATGTCGGCTCCCTGGCTTCACAGTAACTCGAGGAAAAGAACGGTGAGTGGCTGAGATGTGCTGCCGCTCTTCTCTAGCGCATCAGAGATCACTTTACTGTCAGCTGCTGATGATGGCTTTAATAAAAGGTGTAGTGTGTATTAAGCTGCAGGACAGGACGCAGTTCAGCGACAGAGACGTGTACACGCTGAAGCGCTACTGGGATAAAGGCATGACCAGCCTGGGCTCTCTGTGCAAAGAGAAGATCTCAGCGGCAGCCTGCGAGCTCAGTGTGGACACAGAAATCATCAAGGTCAGGAGTCTGGACTCAACTCACAGTGTACTTCACTTTTTATACCTACACAGAGTAATACAGTACAACGTATTGTTGTTTTGTATTTGCGTAAATGATATTACATTTTCCCCTCGTAAAAAACCTTCGTTATTCATAATTCATCATTCGACTATCGAACAGATGCAGCGTCACATCACAAAGCTTCAGACTTTTTTTGCATGAAAATAATGTCACACTATTATTTATTATTTTGCACAGAATATATCACACTAAAAAGCGACATACGGGAGAGATGATGACTCTCAATGGTATTCAGTCAAATTGTCTGCCTGTTGTTGTAGTTTTTTGTTGAATGTGTTTCTTCTGTTTAGATCTAAGAGTCATTCTGTAATTCAGGGGACATGTTCATTGACGACAAGTATATGTGTCTTAATGATTTCTTCACAAAAATCATATTTTGGGAATATTAAGGGAAAACATCATAATCTCAAACAAATATTTTGTGCACCGTATGTTTCAGATTGCCTTGAATGTCTCTTAAATTACAGTTTTTAAAAACACTGATGAAATATTATATCAACAGATATTACCAATAGTAATTTTGAGAAAGCATGCTGGTGTTTTTGTTTTGTTGTTGTTGATGTGAAATGTAACCCCAGTTGTAGAATTTGCCCAAATTAATAGTAATAGCACACGGCATTAGTTAGTAAGTAATTAGTTACTGTAATTTAATTACTTCTCCCTTGAAAATATAAAGCAAGGGATTACTCTTATTTTTCTGTAATTTAATTACAGTTACTTCTTATGTAATTGAACATAATGCTGTATAGACTGTAGAACATTTATATATACAATACAACAGCGGATTTAACATAAAAATCTAAAGTCTAACCTTAAAATGCATGCTTTTTTCACTTTAAATACTTTGTTGAGTTCAAAAGAATATTGGTAACACTTTAGTGTCCAGTTCTCACAATTAACTAGTTGGTAATTATCATGAATACTACTAGACATTGGCTGTTTATTATTACTTTTTAAAAAAACAACACATATTTATGTCTTATTCTGCAAGACCTTATAATTCCACAACTACTTTATTAAGTATTAATAAGCAGGAGTATATTGAGGCAAAAGTTAATAGTCAGTTAATAGTGAGAATTACAGGTGCATCTCAATAAATTAGAATGTCATGGAAAAGTTCATTTATTTCAGTAATTCAACTCAAATTGTGAAACTCGTGTATTAAATAAATTCAGTGCACACAGACTGAAGTAGTTTAAGTCTTTGGTTCTTTTAATTGTGATGATTTTGGCTCCCATTTAACAAAAACCCACCAATTCACTATCTCAACAAATTAGAATATGGTGACATGCCAATCAGCTGGGTTTTTGTTAAATGTGAGCCAAAATCATCACAATTACTACTACTTCAGTCTGTGTGCATTGAATTTATTTAATACACGAGTTTCACAATTTGAGTTGAATTACTGAAATAAATGAACTTTTCCACGACATTCTAATTTATTGAGATGCACCTGTATACTCCACAAGTGTGACCAGAATAGTTTATGCAGTTATCTGTTATTTATTTGAAAGAATTAAAAGAACCGTTTCATATCATTAACTTGTCGAGGTTGATATATAGGATTTAGAAAGTAATAAGTAAGTACTTTTTGGAGAGAGTAATTTGTACAGTGATCTAATTACACTGTTGAAGATGTAATTAGTAACTAGTGATTACTTACTTTTTTAGAAGAGCTTACCCAGCATTGGTTAGATGTCAGTGTTTGCTGATTTGTAAATCGTAATCTAAACTACAGTTCTACCTAATCTCATTTAGAGATTCTGAGTCTGAGTACAGTTCCAACCCTTTCCTCATGATACTGCATAACCTTGTTTCTCAATCATACGACTTCTTACATGTATCTCACATTATTCTCAAAACCCATTGTTTTTATATAAAGCCTTGTAAAACCTGTGTTTGACAGACGTGGATTGGTAACCGCAGAAGGAAGTACCGTTTGATGGGCATTGAAATTCCTCCGCCTAAAGGAGGGCCGGCCATGTTCCCAAATCATTCCCCTCACATCCTTGAAGACGAGCGTCAGACTCCAGAGCTAGGAGAGGCCAGCGAACACAACGACCTCATGTCACTCTGTTTGTCTGACGGTGGGGATGATTTTCATGCTGTTGATGCATGAGATCACTTACTGATTTTTAATTACATCAGCACAGAAAACAGTATTGCTTTAAAGGGGTCATAGGATGCCCATTTTCCACAAGTTGATAGAGATCAGCTCGATTTGAGAAAGGGGAAAACGTTTAACCAGATAAAAAAAAAACACTGGGTGGATAAGCCATTATGTCTAGTAATTGTGCATTTGCCTTTTTTTTTTAAAGATGGAGCCAGTGATTTATATTTGAAAGAAAATGATGATGTAAATGATGAATCAGATGGTTCCACCCCTGCTAAACATGTGGTATGAGCACATATCCATCAACATAACCAAACAGTTTAACGGTTTAATGCTAACTCTGACTCAAACATGAAACTTTCTTCTAGAAGATTGAAATCGTTGACGAAGAAGAAGATGATGATGATGGTGACATGTTGACCACTGAGATGGAACAGATGCAAAACCTCTTAGAGTTCAGGGTAAGCAGAGAGTCAAGAGCTGCATAAGAATGAATAGATAATGAAGAAGCTCACAATGACCAGGACAAATGGATCTGGCCCCATATGCGTTAGTTTTCAGAGAATCACTTGTGTTATGTTATTGCCATGTAAAGAAACACAGCTCTTTGCCAACAGCTTAAAGTGATATTTCACGCAAATTGTCATTCAAAACCTGTATGCATTTCCTCTGCAGAAAACTCTAAAGAATATCATACGAGTTCGGTATAACACGAGGGGGAGTAGATGATGACAGAACTTTCATTTTGGGGTAGATTGTCTCTTTAATTACTCGTATCTCCTTTTACACCGTGTCCTATCCAGACTGCGACATTAAACACACAATACAAGTAACTTACCATGTTAGTCCGAGTGTTTGGAGAAATCACTTCATTGCTCAGATCCGTTACTGAGTTCCCAACCGGCTCCTTCACTGAACTGCGAGTCATTTTCCAGTTATGTTTGATTCAGAAATGAACCTGGAAACCATTACTGTATGTAATACACACATTATGTATTTATGCATATTTACTGATTCGTTGTGTAATTACAGGTACATATTCACAACATGCCAGTGAGTTGTTAAAAGCTGAAGTAGGAAGATATGCACTCGTTGAGCTGAAGCACTTTATTGAGTGGTTCTACAGTTATCAACAACAACAAAGTTTTATTTTAGGCATCAATAGCTTCCTAGTCTTTTTTTTTATCTGTAGCCCTGCCATATTTAGATTCTACTTTTTTTAAATAATGCCAAGGTTTTACAAATGTATAATGACATTTATAGTGATGATTTTTGATAAGGGAACTCCAGACTATATGTATGCCAAATTTGACAACAGGTTCCAGGCGAATCCAGGAGTCATGCTAACAGAAAGCGTGTCTTTCTTCTTCTTTTAATGGTGTTTTACATTCTTAATGCCACCTGGTATATTTTTAAGTGTATCCTTTTTTTCTTTCCTCTTTATCTCACACATGACACTGACACATAACTTAATGCAAAATGCATTTAAAAAGAAAGATTGGGGGAGAAAAGTCTATGCTGTCACTCTTTTTCCTATTATTTACTCATAATGCAACTGTATGCAGTTTTGTGTATTTTTGCGACTGTGGAGCTCCCTAGAGTTAAGTGAGTTGAATTCACTGTCGTAAGGCAATTTACCGGTGTATCAGAATGTCATACCAACTCACCAAACTTATTATGCAATTGACCTATGGAGAAAAAAAAGTTTTTTTTTCTTGCATAAATGAAAATCTATTTGTCTGTTTAAATTTGGGTCACTGAAGGATTCAGAAGAAATAAAAAAGAATTGGTGCTCTCCTTGCAGTTCCAGTCCAAACCTAAATGACTTGTTTTCTTCTGTGGAACATGAAGACTGTGTAGGGACTCACTTTAATGCCTAATAAAGCACACGATAATGTCCGTACAGCTCACTGATCATTCTATAGGTGTTCTGATCGGTGTTGGTGAAAAACAACCCAACCATCTAACGCTTCACACTCCAGCACATTGATTCCATGCTTCTTCTGTAAGTGCACCAATGTAAAATGTGCCATTTTGTGCTTTATTGAGCTTTAATGCGAGTCATTGTAATGAATCCATCCAACTGGATATTCATTCAATTATCACATTTTGTGTTCTGTAGAAAGAAAGTCATTTGGGTTTGGATTGGAACTGCAAGGACAGGAACAGGAATTCTTTCACCTCTGAATCCTTCGCTGTCCCCAAATGCAGGCTTCATACTGAATCCAAATGACATGAGGGTGAGTAAACGATGACCGGAATTTTAGGTGAACTATTCCTTATGTTCTTAAGGTATTAGCTGCTATTACAGCATACTTACATATCTTTTTAAACCAAATTTTCTTCTCTTTAATAATAGACAAAGACAAATAAGAAATGTTGGGGAACTGTAGTACAGCTGTGTAGTTGTAGTAAAGGTTAAACTTGTTTAAGGGGTTCCCTTAAGTTAAACCACTTAATGGTTTTCATGCATCCAGGCCCAGAAGAGTGTTCAGTCCACTTCCTATGCTTCCTATGAAGCATGTGTGAAAACACATCAATCTCATTGGCCATCGTGAAGTCATGTGATGTAGCATGGCGTGCCAGTGAAACCATAAAAGGGTGCCTACATCACAGATTGCCCAGCTTCTTTGTCTTAGGGAAGCTGATTGTCTGCTGCTCAGTTCATGTTTATGAGAAAGCTTAGAGCCTCACATTATTTTAACTACTGGTCTAAGTATAGGAGGTGTGTGATGCCGTGACACATGCTTTATAACGGGGGAGCGACTCGCATGAGATGTGCGTTGTTTGTATGGTGTGCGGAGCACACATGGTCAGTCCTCGAGGGGCTAAATGCACGAACTGCGAAAGCTTTACAGTGAAAAACGAGTGATCGCAGGCTTAACTTAGATTGGTCAAATGAGCATCAAGAGGTCGTGTCTGTTCTAAACTAGACGACAGCTTCCTCACCACCGGCCGAGCACAACCTCCCTGAGAAATCTCCCGTTCTTACCAGTTCAACACACAGAGTACTCAGCTCGCTTTTATACCATATTCTACGGTTGTGGGGCTTTGTGAGCAGGGGCAGGGCTGGACTGGGGTTAAAATTCAGCCCTGGACAAATCCAGCCCATCTGGCCCACGAGTTCCCCCATGAATGTTTTGCTGGGTTATAGGGCCTTTAATTGGAGTAAATAATAATAGATATGACTGAATTCACGACAGATGCACCAAACTTAATAATGCATTTTTGTCACATAGAAATGCACTTGACAGTAAAGCATTGATTTTTGCTAATAAAAATTGCTAATAAATTCTGTCATCATTTCCTCACCCTCATGTCATTCCGTCATTTCCTCACCATTTCATTTCTTCTGTAGAACACAAAAGATATTTTATAGAACATTACCAAACCATTTTGGTTACCCTTGATTTCTACTGTATGGACCAAAAAAATTCTTGAATTTCTGAAATGATCTTCTTTTATGTTCCACAGAAGAAAGAAATTCATATAGGTTTGGAATGACACGATGTTGAGTAAATGACCATTTAAATTTTTGGTTGAACTATCCCTTTAAGAACTTATTTAATATTTAAGTAATAACAGTAACATTTTTAATAAATACATCTCTATTGTACAGTGTTAATAATTGCAAGTTAAATTACTATGGTGCTGAATTTACAAGTCTATGTTTTGGCGTTTTCCAATTTACCTCGTCATGCAGTTTACATTGTCATGGCTGTTTTCAGCCAGCATCACTACAGAACCTTTAATGTTCTCATGTCACACGACTGTATAGCACTATTCTGTCTGACATCTGAATGAATCAAGCGACTTGCGCTGTTTGTCACATTGTGGCACGTTCGTCAGTGCTGTGTGAATGCATTGCGTAGCGCCACTTCACACTTTTGGAGTATTTGCTTTTTGCAGTTCGCTGTAATTTAAAAACAGCGCCTAATATGGGAGAGGTCTCATTCACTTCGGCGATCGGCCCACTACTCGATCGTCCCACTGGGAATGTCCCGGTACTCCCGATGGCCAGTACATCCCTAAGCATGGGTATGAGGCGATGCAGAGGGTGGAACAGACTCTTGAGAGCTATCTCTCCCCCTCATCTGTGTGTCATAGTGGAGGAAACCTGCTCTACCTTCCAAGCTGTGTAGGGTTACATCTAGCTTGGTTGGCAAGGCATATGTATCCGCAGGTCATGGGGGTGTTGCAGGCATACTAGGATGGCCTGCTCAAAGACATGGATTGTGGCGAGGGATTAGACACAGAGGCAGTGCCACAGATCACACTCTTCGTGCCACCAAGTAGAGCCCTACCGCTGGACTGTTTTCTTAATCCCGCGATTTTTGTGTTCAGTCCCACCCGCTCCAGCAAACATTCTAATATTTCATAACATTTAGCATCAGGGAGCCGCCATCAATATGCGGGTATTTAAATCGCTTTTGAATGAGCGCTCACTGTTCACTTTCATTTTTGATTTTGAAATCACGCAAACTTTGTGTAAAGGCAGCACATCTTACAAGATCAGATATATGTCAATGAGCTCAGGATCTGTTGTGCAGCAAATCCTCCGCTATGGTTTTGTCAGTCATCTCTCCTTGCTCTTGACCTGTGATCAGTGAAATCTGACTCCTGCTGTTCGTGTTGGATGCAGGGTTGTCAAGTCCAAGTTTGATGCAGTGTTTTTTTTTTTTTTTTCAAAATATTGGGTTGCTTTTAAACTGTTGCCATGTGTTGATGTTAAAGGTTTGAAATATTGCATAAATTACATTTGACTGAAAAGCTTGCATTGAAACATTTTGCATTCTACGTATGATAAAACTGCGCTAGATGTTAAGTTTTGTGAGGGAGGGCCACTGGTAGGAAGCGTTTTAGCTGTGTTTGTGATAAATGTACATAACAATGACTGTAAAATATGTATTTTAGGTATCTAAATGACATATTATGAATTTTGATATTTGGGATTAGGCTACTTTGGGCTGTTTGTGACTGGCATGGGCTAGTTTTGTCACACAGACCTGGCAAACCTGGCTGTATGGAGCGGAGCAGAGCAGACACTTTCAGTTTAGTGTAGCGAACAATTTCCAGCTGAACTAAATGAATTAATTCTATTTCTATAAAAATAACAAATAAACAGTTGAGGGCAGTGCCACGGTGGGCAAGTAATGTAATCGGTGAATGACCAAACACTATGTAAACTGCTGTTTATGTAACTCCATCATTCTTGGTATGCGACTGCGGGATGACGGGACTCCGCACAATATTTTTTTGACTGCCCGCTAGGGCTGCCTCCTAATAGTCAACTAACCGTTAGTAGACCAGAAGAGACTTGGTCGACCAAATTTCTTTTAGTCGCAGGAAAAAACAAAAACAAACAAACAAACGTAGTGCGCTCACTGCAGGACAGATGGAGACGCTGCTACTTATTCCTAAAATGCTAATTTTTGGTCATACAGATAAGAGTAATACATCTTTCTAATCTGTAAAGACTATGTTTATT